GTTTCTCAACGGGGGCGATATCGCCCCCATGTGGGCGTTTTTTCATGTTGAGGGGCAATTACTAACAATTTATATTTTGGGGGACAAAAAACAATTTTCTGGGCAATATAGTAAAACATTACATTAAGAATAATTAGATATTTTATTTGTTATATCGTACAATAATTAAACAAATGACGATATACTAGTCACTATTCTATTCAATGCAGTATGAATTTGGCGTTAGTCTTGGCCCTCGGCATTGAAATTTTGTAGTGAAAGGGGCGATACTATGTAACGGTTTTACTGAAGGGGACAATACTATGTTGAAAAGGGGCGACGATTCATTAGAGGTTGAAAAACACTCACATATACAGAACACATGCACTTACAGGACTAAAGCTCACAAATTATAAACTGTTTACCAACTCACAAAATTAGAAGAAAATCCTACAGATAAAAAAATGGTTTTATTTTCTACATAATGCATTCAATGTATTATTTCAAGAAAGTTGTTGTTTTACAAGCTTTTTAAAAATCAAATTATATCGAAAGAAGAATTATATTAATTTGCAAATATAATTCTTCTTTTAATTAATATAGTTATTTGTAAAAATTAATGTAAAATAACTCCAAGTTTTTAAAATCCTACTCCCTACTAAGAAAAGTATTGGCACTTTCCACTCACAAACATCTAACATTTCTTGTTCACGTACAGTACATTACAGTATGTATACACATTCAAGATTTATTTAACTGTTTGAGATTTTGTCCAGAATCTCTAAATGTTAGGATTTCAAAATCATCAATAACGTACTTAGAGACACATGCACTTTTGGTAATTAACAGATGCCATTTGGGACATTTATAGAGGAGACATGATGAGAAAATAATGAAAAGTATTTGAATTTCATAATTGTATGTACCAATGTTAAATGCAGTATTTGAATAATTATTATACCTAAATGAAATGGCACTTCAAAGTTATCATTTGTAAAGAAAGGTCAACAAGAAAAAATAATACACACGCACGCGCGCGCGCACACACACACACACAGTTTGGCATTCAGTATTTCCTTGCAATATTCATAAACAAACCTCACTATACTGTATTATATGTTGTTTGATGTACTGTACACTTCAACTTAATGAATTTGCCATTTAATTAAATAATTATTGTGGATATTTTATTTCATTAATTTTAATATTATAATTAATAAATATTTTAAAAATTGTTCAACTGTAACAACTGGTATCCTTGCATGTCATTTTATTCTATCACTAAATAATAATAAATTGAGCTTATCAAATGCTTATTATATTAAATATTGTTCAATTTTAATGGTTTAAATTTAATTGTGTTATGCCTCAAGCTGGTTAAACTTCTTTTTGTTTCTCTCTTATGTAATCCAAGATGACAAGTATCACAAGGTAAATTTTTTTTTAAATCTCTGAAAAATCTCATTATATGCATTTTATAGTTGAAAAAATGATAAAATTTTTAAAATAGTAATTTATTTTTGATCAAATCACTTCCATCAAATCATTTCACAAAGTTAAAAAATTCTCTTTAGCAAAAGTCACTGCACTAATTTCTCAAAATTTGATTTAGTAAATCTTTTTTAAATAAAAAAAAAAAATGAAATTACTACAATAAATACTTTTGGACTGTGAAAACACTATTGGTTAGACACAAACAACATAAAAAATGACAAAATTATAAAATTCAAAAACAAAACATTTTAAATTCCATTTGAAATTATATATACAGTGGGTGATCGGTTAACGAACATAATCCGTTCCAAGACTTTGTTCACTATCCGAATTGTTCGTTAACCAATTATCGATTTACCATAGGTTTCTATGGGAATTTGATTAATTCATTCTGGAGACCCCAAAAAAATAAATAATATATACTTTCTTACTATGTTTATTCATATGTAATAATAAAAATACATATATACACGATCTTGCATTTTTATTAGTCATGGGGTTAAAGAATCTGTCCAATGTCGATTGCTTTTCTGTCTTCATGATTTTTCAGAAGTAATTAATAGCATTGTAATTGTAGAGATCTACAGGCCTATTAANTCTATGCCTTCATAAAGGACGTACTTTTCCTTTGTTTAAGGGTATTTGGGCAGTTTATTCTCTGTTATATTCTCAAGTAAACAATACATACAAGTACAGTACAGTATTTTCTGAGGAAACACTCGTACTTATTTTTTTTAAACCCCATTCCTGATAACCTGGCATTTTCACAAACTCAGCCACCCTTCGGTCCACGTTAGGCCGAGTTTTCGAGGTTCTACTGTATTAATTTATCATCTTATTTCCAATAATCTTCATTTTGTTTTATTTCAAATTTAAAATGTATATTCCTAATCAGAACAAAATTGTTTTGTTGATGAAAAATTATTTTGTTGGAATACTATTTATAAAGTTCTCAAATATTTTTAGTTATTTCTAAACATTTCATTCAATTCTGAAATGATGTTTGTTTGAAGGTTTTTAAGATTCTGCAGCAACAAATGGCTATATTGTCCTGAGATATGAGTGAAGATATTCTTATATAAGTATATAATGATTAGCCTATATTCAAAATATAATTCTTAAATAATTAAACAGTCATCTATTCAAGAAAATTCAAAAGTAACAACATATGTATATTTCTATTTAAGATGAAAAAGCAACAACATACTTTAGAGAAAAATTTTAAAATCTAGAGAAGTAATATCAAAATAAAAATATAAAATACAATCACATGTATGGCATCTTAGAAATGGCTGATAATAGTAATAAGAAAAAAATACTAAGTTGATAAAAATAATTCAGAGTTCCTAATTTTAATTATTATAATCATAATTCTTACCTATCCAAGGGGCGATACTATGTAACGGTTTTACTGAAGGGGACAATACTATGTTGAAAGGGGGCGACGATTCATTAGAGGTTGAAAAACACTGACATATACAGAACACATGCACTTACAGGACTAAAGCTCACAAATTATAAACTGTTTACCAACTCACAAAATTAGAAGAAAATCCTACAGATAAAAAAATGGTTTTATTTTCTACATAATGCATTCAATGTATTATTTCAAGAAAGTTGTTGTTTTACAAGCTTTTTAAAAATCAAATTATATCGAAAGAAGAATTATATTAATTTGCAAATATAATTCTTCTTTTAATTAATATAGTTATTTGTAAAAATTAATGTAAAATAACTCCAAGTTTTTAAAATCCTACTCCCTACTAAGAAAAGTATTGGCACTTTCCACTCACAAACATCTAACATTTCTTGTTCACGTACAGTACATTACAGTATGTATACACATTCAAGATTTATTTAACTGTTTGAGATTTTGTCCAGAATCTCTAAATGTTAGGATTTCAAAATCATCAATAACGTACTTAGAGACACATGCACTTTTGGTAATTAACAGATGCCATTTGGGACATTTATAGAGGAGACATGATGAGAAAATAATGAAAAGTATTTGAATTTCATAATTGTATGTACCAATGTTAAATGCAGTATTTGAATAATTATTATACCTAAATGAAATGGCACTTCAAAGTTATCATTTGTAAAGAAAGGTCAACAAGAAAAAATAATACACACGCACGCGCGCGCGCACACACACACACACAGTTTGGCATTCAGTATTTCCTTGCAATATTCATAAACAAACCTCACTATACTGTATTATATGTTGTTTGATGTACTGTACACTTCAACTTAATGAATTTGCCATTTAATTAAATAATTATTGTGGATATTTTATTTCATTAATTTTAATATTATAATTAATAAATATTTTAAAAATTGTTCAACTGTAACAACTGGTATCCTTGCATGTCATTTTATTCTATCACTAAATAATAATAAATTGAGCTTATCAAATGCTTATTATATTAAATATTGTTCAATTTTAATGGTTTAAATTTAATTGTGTTATGCCTCAAGCTGGTTAAACTTCTTTTTGTTTCTCTCTTATGTAATCCAAGATGACAAGTATCACAAGGTAAATTTTTTTTTAAATCTCTGAAAAATCTCATTATATGCATTTTATAGTTGAAAAAATGATAAAATTTTTAAAATAGTAATTTATTTTTGATCAAATCACTTCCATCAAATCACTTCACAAAGTTAAAAAATTCTCTTTAGCAAAAGTCACTGCACTAATTTCTCAAAATTTGATTTAGTAAATCTTTTTTAAATAAAAAAAAAAAATGAAATTACTACAATAAATACTTTTGGACTGTGAAAACACTATTGGTTAGACACAAACAACATAAAAAATGACAAAATTATAAAATTCAAAAACAAAACATTTTAAATTCCATTTGAAATTATATATACAGTGGGTGATCGGNATTATATAATATATTAATTTTCTATAAAGCTTATAACTACTTTTTTTTTTGAAGTAAGTGAAATACTTTTAAAAAGATTGACTGTAAACATTTTCCCCAATATTTTTCTTAAAATGTATTAATTTGAAAAATTTCCTGATGAACTCTGTTTAAAAATTGTTATTCAATTTTAAACTTTATAATTTATTTCTTTTATTGTAAATTAAAAAAGTAAATTATAAAGTAAATTTATATAACATTGATATAACTTACATTTCAGAATTTACTGTATAAGTTTCACTAAAATAATTTCTAGAATATAAAATTTATCAAATTTTTAAGTAGCTTATACTGGTTAAATAAGTGAACAGCTTTTGTACGTTATTTCACTATAAAAATTTTATTTAACTATTTTTATTTTTAATAATATATCATATAAGTTTCCAAAAGGAATTTACTATACAATTTATCAATGCATTTCCAAAGTTTTCATCAGGAAATTATTTTTTTATTTATAATTTACATTTAGTTAAAAATATATAAATTGTAATTTCTCTACTGATAAGCCATAAAATACTTTTAACAATTATATTTAAATTTCCATATAATTAAGTTGCTACATAGAATGCAAATAACTACAATAATGATTAAAAATAAATTATGAATGCTTTTTCAAATGTTATCTATCAGTTTAAAATCATTATGAAAATGTCAAAGAAAATTGTTGAAACAAATAAAAGTTTAATTTTATCACACAAGTTAAACATGTACAATGGAAAATTTTCAATCTATGAATATAAAAATAAATACAATACCTGCAACTTAAAGTCTGGACTATATGTCTTTCGTAATTTCTTTTGCTTTTCTACAATTCCCTGGCCAGCAACTGCTGGTTTTACCTTTCTGATGACAATATTCTCTGTTAATTCCTGTATAAAAATTGACTATGTTAATTTTAAATTATTGCTTTTTTACAATAAAATCTTAATACAGTTCTTTCTAAATTGAATGTAAATTTTGATATTACTATTTGTTTAAAAAGTTTTAAACAAATTTGCTTTACTTCTTTGTGTTAAATTCTATAGTGAAAAAATCTGTTTTATATTAATTAAAATAACATTCATATAAAATTTAAATTATTATTAAGTGACTTTTGAGTTAGAAGATAACAGTATATAAATCTTTGTGTAATGCTTTGGATGAAGATTGAATTAATTGGATGAACAGAATTTTCATAACCTATTGGATAAACTGACAATTATAATCCATCATCTCTTTACCATACAAAGCAGTTTAAATATTCATTAAATGAAAGCATATATTTAATTCACTACATTTGGGAATAATGTGTACTTTTGGCTATACAGTATAGTTTTTAGTCTCAGTGCCTTTAGTCTACTGATAGTTTGCTACTGCAAATGTTTGTGACATGTACATTAGGCAGTAGCATACTGTCAGTAGTCTAAAGGCACTGAGACTAAGGAACATTTGCTCATTAGTTTCAATCCAGAAACCAAGAATGAATCATCCAAATCTAAGCAGTTTATCACAGATTTCTTTGCCAGTATTGGGAGAAATATCATACTTTATGATAAGGAATGGATTTACCTGTAGGCAGACTAAGCTAAGTCCTAGGGTCTTGTGATTCTAGGGGCCCCAAAACTATCAATCTGTTTTCAACTTTTATAAACTTTTAATAAGAAAAAATAAAAGCCGTTTCTTTTAAAAAATTTTTTATTTTAAAAATTGTGAATCACATTTTATTGAATACACAAACAAAATAAATATATTGAAAAATATAAAAACAAAAAAAAAAATTATATTTCAAAAGTTTGTTTTAATATAAAAATTACAACGCATAGTGACATCTAGTATCAAAAACATTCCAATGCAGACACAAAAATATTCGGGGTCACCCATGAAGGTCAATGAGGTCAACATGGAAATTTTCAGAAACAACACAGGACATGCTAGACACATTCTTTGCATTCATCTCTTGGTGAGTTCCTAATGAGTTTGAATGATCAGTTTGACACAATCAAAGCAGAAGCTAAACAATTATTGCATGATACAAATTATACAAAACAGACAATGAACTAAAAAAGAATCCCAGGTGAACCTCAATCAAATGAAAGTGTTAAGTCCTGAGGAAAACTTTATAAATAATGTTTTTCTGAAAATTTTAAAAAACATTAATATGAATTTGGAACAATGAGCTGAGTCTTATAAGGAAATTAATCAAATTTTCAATTTTTAATCAACATTAACAATCCTAATAAAGAACTGAAGACATGTACAAAATATCTTCAAGCAATATCAAGGAGATATTGATGATTCATAATATAAAGAAATTTTGCAACTCCCTAGTTTCATCAAAATTAATTATTGAGATCGAAAATCCTCTTTGACTCATTTGTATTTGTATAAGATGATAAGAGAAAAGAATAATGAAATTGCATTTTCAAACACAAACAGTTTTAAGAATTCGTTAATACTTGATGATTACCAATTGTTCTGGTGAGAGAAGTTTTTCAAAATCAAAATTAACCAAAATTTATTAAGGTCAATCATGGCCATGAATAATGATTTCACTTTATTATCCAGCAATGTCAATAAAATGAAATCCATTGATTTTGATTTATTAATCAATGAATTTGCCAAAGAAAAATGTAGAGAAAATTTTTTGTAAAACAACTTTTAATTTTTATACCACATTGAATTTTATAGTAAAAAATTTTTTTTAAATATTTCAGTATTAGACAGTAAAATTTTGTTGTTATTATTATAAGATATTGGCATAAAATAGAAGTAAATTCTTATATATCTTAAAAAATATTAGTTTTCACATTTTGTAAAGCCTTGCCATCTCTCAACTCGATAATCTAGGATTAACTTTTAAATCAGATCATGTATTTTAAGTTAGAATTTATAAAAATCCTTATGTATAAAAAAAAAAATTAATTTCACAGATAATTATTTTTAGGGATCCAAAGCCTTGCTCGTCCTAGGGCTACCAAAAATACAAATATTATGATAGATCTATAGGTCCTTCCACAGATAATGAGGTGGGAGAATTTACAAAACTAAAATTGTCAGAAAGTAATCATGCCACTCATTTAAGGACTGCAAAGTTTAAACTGTCTTGGAAGGTACAATTCAATGGTTACAGTCTATTAACAATGGTATGACTTGTTCACATTGTATTCAAGTTGGAAAACAAAATGGATTTACAATTGGATAGGTACTTTTTCAAAGATTTCATCCAAAAAACACACTGAACTGAAGGACCATAGAGATGCTATTCAAGCCAAATCATACCAGAAACCTTTAAATTTGCAACTGTGAATGCATATGGCAAATAAAAAGTTGCCATTATTTCTGCTATGAAGACCATATAAAAGTATTTACTGATACAAATGAAAACATTCATATCAGTAAATTTTTATTCCTTTTACTAATATATTGAGTATATTTGTGTGTTTTCAGACCACATTTTATTTGGCTAGGAAGCAGCAATCTATGGAATGAAGTCTTAGATGAAATTAGAATAGTAAAATTTTTGGACCTGACTGACAAATCTACAGACAACCCTTGTCAACAAACTCTTGTGATTTATGTCAAGTATATATAGAAATAAGACAAAGTTTCTAATGATAGTGGAACTAGCTAGTGCTGAGACAGCAGAAAACATTTATGATATTTTATTATGAACCTTGACACAACTACAGCTAGACTATCAGAACTGTGTTGGAATAGCTACAGATAGAGCCAGTGTAATGACAGGTTGTACTCAATGAGTAACAACAAAATTGCAGGCATTGATTCTACACATCACAACAATTCATTGCATTGCTCACTTGCATTAAGTAAAGCTTATCACTCTGTTGACCTCTGAGAAATATCATGCAATGTCAATGCAGTGTACAAATATTTTTATTAGAGTCTAAAGTGACAACACATTGAAAGAAAAGCACACATTTCTTGAACTACTGAAATGAAATTTATAGTAGTACTGTAATTGACACAAGATGGATGAGCTTAAGCTAGTTATTAATGTACTCTTTCATTAAATGCACTGATCAGTGCTTTCATTTGGACCAAGAAGCTAATAATTCATCCATAACAAGTGCAGCTAAAGCAAAAAGTCTATTAAAAGAAATTTCCTCCTTTGAGTTCTTGACTACCACAGTTTTTTTTCTAATTTGTTGCAAGTTTTTAGAAAATTAACAAGGATATTCCAAACAAAGAATATTAACCTAATATATATGAGGACCAATCTGGATGCAGAAATTTTCACTATGGATTCCATAAAAACTTCACATGATTCAAAAGTGCAGGCTTTTTGGAATCAATAAGTAATGTTCCTGGAAAATCATTTGAATTTGGAGATATTTCAAGATTATTACTAGATAACAATTTTCCATCTGTAAAGTCCACACCTTATGTATCTCCAGCAAACACATTAGTATAACAAGCATTTTCAGTTTATTTTATAAACCTGTTTCAGGTTTGAAGTTTTACAAATTTGAATTTAACATGAAATGTTTAATTTTCAATGATGTTATTTATATAATCTTTTTAAACATTGTAATTGTGAGACTTACTTCTGACTCGAAACCAAAATAGTGCTTATTTCAAAATACCTTCACTAACGTTTTCGAACTTAGTTCTTCTTCAGGTGAATAAAAGAAAATGGGCAGAATCGATGTTATTCGAACGTATCTGTTTCATACGAATTCTGAAATGCAGTGTTCTAAGGAAACCCGTGCACTGATCGTCTTAAACTTGTGCATGCTCTGTAGATAGAAGGATCGCTTTTCTATCTACAGAGCATGTGTATATTTTACAGTGTGTATTGATGAGATTATTTATTGTAATTGTATATACATACGTATATTGAACTATTATATATTAATAAAATAACATGTATATAAATAATAAAATTAAAAATTTTACAATAATAAAAAATATAAAAACAATGAACCATATAAATTCCTTATGTCTATGCCTTATTTACATATAATTGATTTGTACGGTTATCAAAGAACAATTGCCATCAACGTTGCACTATCTGGAACCTGTGACCGGCACTCAACACGTATATACTATATATTGCTGCTATATATCGCTGTCGACAAACGTTTTCGAGTGATCCGTTCACTCTTATTCAGATCAACTGAAATTCCCCGGACGGAGTATATATTATTTGTTGGGATCAGGTGTCAGTTCCGAAGGGGTGGATCGTTTCTGGCATGCGCGGTTGTATGGTGGAGGAGGAAGCGGCAGGTTGGCATCCAACAGTGATTGCCAGGCTAGAGACAGGGTTAGTGCCAGAAACGACTCACCCCCTCGGAACCTACACCTGATCCCAACAAATAATATAAAGTTTGTCCGGGGAATTTCAGTCGACCAGAAGAAGAGCGAAGGAATCGCTCAAAAATGTTTGTCAACAGTGATATATAGTATACACGTCAAGCACCAGTCACAGGTTCCAGATAGTGCAACGTTGATTTCACCCAGGTGCTGAGAGTAGAACAGTTCCTATATTTAACAATTGCCATGCATTAAGATAGGGATTCTGAGTTGCTATGATTAAAACAACTATTTTTCAATGTGTTCTTGAATATTTCCAATGTTTCCAGTGTACTTAGGTAATGTTGGTCATAGACTCTTTTTATTATTCTTGTTTCATTTAGATTTGCAAACATCCTGGGCTCTGTTGCATAGTGAGTTAAAATGGTTTAAAGTTTGTTGTTATCTATCTCATAATTGAATTCATTGATTCTGCATTTAAAGATCTAATTGCTGACCCAATATACATAAGTTGGCAATTTTATCTTGCATCTGTTAGTGGAATATAATATACACCCAGTGCATTATTGTTGTCTATCTCATCTTTGCTGTTATGCAATAATTTGTAGATTGTGGC